AATGGATATGGCATTATAGACTAGGCCATCTCAACTTTAGAGACATCAGAGATTTGAAGAGAAGAAATATGGTTTCAGGATTTCCAGAAATCAATATTCTAAACGAGGTATGTGAGGAATGTGTGTTGGTGAAGCAACACAAGAATAGCTTCAGCAAGGATGCAGGAAGCAGGTCGAAGACTATTCTTGAAGTCATATACTCTTATGTGTGTGGACCAATCCAGGTGGATTCGATGTGAGGTAACAAATACTTTGTTATATTCATATATGATTTCAGTCAAAAGTTATGGACTTACCTGATCAAGAAGAAAAGTGAAGTGATCGAAGTATTTGCCAAGTTTAAGTTTATGAGTGGTCGAAAACTCAAAGTTTTGAGAACCGATGGTGGTGGAGAGTATGTGTCGAAAGACTTCGACATGTTATGTGAAAAGGAATGGATTATGCATGAGGTGGTACCACCCTATACTCCACAACATAATGGAATTGCAGAAAGGAAGAATCGAACCATCATGAATATGGTGAGAAGTATGTTGAAAGGTAAGAATTTACCTAAAGAGTTTTGGGGTGAAGCTGTTTCGACTGCAACATATATTTTGAACAGATGTCCTACGAAGAAGCTATAAGGAATTACTCCAGAAGAATGTTAGTCTGGTATGAAGCATAGCTTGAGTCATCTGAAGGTATTTAGATCTATTTCACATAGACATGTTCCATATCAGTTGAGAAGAAAACTTGATAACAAGTCGAGTCAAATGATTCTAGTTGGATATCATTCGACAGGAGATTACAAGTTATTCGACCCAGTGAAGAAGAAGATTGTGATCAGCAGGAACGTGATCATAGATGAGTTTAAAGAATCAGATTGGACTGAAAATGTCAAGAAAGATTCAGTGGGAATCCTACTTGAAGAAGCAGAGACTCAAGTCAAAAGAGAAGTCCGACAAGAGGAACCAGCAGTTATAGATCAACCAAGTACAAGCAAGCCTCAAAGAACAAAACGCATGTCTGTAAGATTGCAAGATTGTGTGATTACATCAGATGATGTGATAGATAATGAAGGTGAGTTGGTACATTATGCTTTCTATGCAGATGTCGAACCTGTCAATGCAGCTGAAGCATTGAAGTATTCGGAGTGGGTGAAAACAATGAACGAAGAAGTAAAGTCTATCGAAGACAACAACACTTGGTCACTTGTCGAATTGCCTCAAGGTAAGAAGGAAATTGATGTCAAGTGGGTATACAAAGTAAAAACGAATTCGAAAGGGGAAGTAACTTGACACAAAGCAAGGCTTGTGGCGAAAGGATTTCTACAGAAAGAAGGAATCAGGTTGGTTGTTGGTCTAGCAGAAATAAACAGATGGCGCATATGTCAGATGGACGTAAATTATGCATTCCTGAATGGACCCTTAGACGAAGAAGTTTATGTTAAACAACCAGTTGGATTTATGAAACATATTGAAGAGATAACAGGGAAAGATCATGGAGCAATTACCATGAAGATCGACATCATGTCAGCTATCAATCTGACGAAGAACCCAATAGCACATGGTCAAAGCAAGCACATCGAAATGAGGTTCCACTATCTTTGAGAGCAGGTAGCATATGGGAAGATGAATTTGGAATACTGCAGAACTGAGAATCAGATTGCAGACATCATGACAAAGGGGGTACAGGTCAAAGTATTCAGAAAACTAAGAGCCATGATAAATATAGATAGTTTAGACACAATGAATTAGGTGGTGTGTTAAATTGTAATCCATAGTGTCAAAACTATGGTGTGTCAAAGAGCACACAAATTATATTAGTTTTAGATTTAAATAGATTTGATTTAGATCTAAAATAGATATATTTGATTTAGTACCAAAATAGGTATTTTGGACTTTTATAGTTTTGGACTTTGAGCTAACCAAAATCTATAAATAGGGAGTAACCCCTAAGTTTGTAATCAAGACAATCAAGTTGTATTCACAGTATTTTGCAGTTGCAAAGTGAATAAGAAAGTTTTCCACAGTTCGTGAACAGAGAGAAACTCTGTAGAAAATAATTGTCTTCTTTTTTTTCTTTTTTTCTCATAATTTATTGTCATTGTGTGGTGATATCAATCTTAAGCATCAAAATTGATAGAAATTCATCATAGATATTTGGTGGATTTCCAACAAAATCTAGAGAGTTCAGTTGAAAAAAACATTGGATTGAAGCATATTGATTGCTTGTTGTCAATGCCTTCTTTAATTCGGACCTTATGTCTTGGAACATCAAGTCTTGTTGATTTAATTGTTGATCGTGCATATTCTCTACTGATTTTATGACTATATATATATATATATATATATATATATATATATATATATATATATATATATATATATATATATATATATATATATATAAAGAAGTCAATTTTTGTGTTGATTTACTTACCAACCTTCATCTTAAGTTTAGAATTTTTTTCTTTACTTTCTTTTATTCATAAAGTTAGCTTAGAAATTTCTTGTTTGACAAAGAAATTACCCCTAGACTTGGACTTTTTTCTCAAGAAGTCTTGATTTAATCCCTATGATCTTGTAACTCTTTTTTATTTTAATATATTATGGTATTTATATTTAGGTTTTACCCACGAGTGTCATGTGTGGTTATCAATATTGCATCTCAATTCTCCACGGCCCCACAATCTAAATATTTTCATATAAATCAAAACATTTTCTTTCTAAGATATGATCAAAACAACTTAAAGTTACTTTTGTCACACACAAAGAAAGTTCTCAAATCTAGTATTAGTTTTTTCTTCTTCTCATGTGAGGTAGAGTTAGATTTATTAATATACATCCATAAAGAATAGGAGCATTATGGATACTAATTTATTACAAAATCAGATAATTTTTTAATGTTTGAACACAAAAATCAGAGCAAGAATCCATTCCTAAGTTATATGTGGAAAAAAAAAAAGTAATATAAAATGCGATACAGCTGGATACAGGACTGTTTTGTAGTTTTTGTTAATTCTTACATTCTATAATTGTTCATTTCTATATTTTATGTCCCTCGGAGGGACCCTCAGTATTTTTTTGTCTTACCTAAAAATAAAATGTTGTTTAAATCAGTTTGGGAATATTGAATCTCAGTTAATAAATTTTGAATCTCAGTTAATAAATTTTTGTAATGGTAAAATAGTGTTAGTTTTTAGAATTAAATATATCTCATTATCACGCTATAAAAACTAATTAAACTATTAGCGGATTAGATTAATTTTTAATAGATGCAGAATCAATTCTAGAAATATAAAATTGATTTTTGGTAATTTTGATATGTTTGTTTTATCAAAAATATAATTGATTTTGTTTCTATAATTGATTGTATTTGAAATTATAATTTATAGTTTATATTTCTAAAATTGATTCTGAGTAATTTTTATATTAAAATTTATTATTCAACTCAGTTTTACATAAATATATTTAAATATAAATAAATTATACCAAATTCAATTTTGTTAACATCAATTCTACTAAATTCAATTATCTTAGAATCAATTATATTCACTGTCATGATAATTATAAAAGTTGAGTAACAATTTTTATATTAATATTACATAATTAGTATGTGTTGTTTTTAATTTATTTATTTTATAAGAAAAAATAACAAGATGTTACATGTTCCAAAATAATTGTTATATTTTAAATTTTTAAAAAATTATAAAATAAATATAGCATTTAGTTTCAATGCAATTTTAATTCTATTTTCTAATTATATTAATACATCATCTCTATTTTTATTTTGTATTTTTTATACAAAATTAAAAATAATTTGACATATATTATTCTCTCTTATAATTTTTTAATATATAAAATAATCAAATAGCATATTTACGTTGAAACCACCAACATAATGTCATAAATATTATGTTCCCTTTTCTGAAACAAATAAAATTGGAAGTGGAAAAAGGTTGAAATGGTCTTTGAGTGTGGTCTTTGCTTTAGGATGACACATAAAAAAAATACATCATCCAATTACTTATAATACAAATACATCAACTGTTAAATAAATCAAACACCATTATAATCCAAATACATTGATTATAAAATAAATTTAAAAAATTATTTATAATAATAACTAGAGGTGTAGCGAAAGTTTTTGGTGGCTCTCCTAAAATCACTGAAATTGTTACGTTTTTATTCACAAGTAAAATGTATTCAATTTATACAAGAATAAAAATAAATAAATAAATAATAATATTATAATAATAATATAACAAAAATGAACATAGATTGATGAGAATTTTTAATTAAAATATAAAATTAATTAATTTTTATAATTATATCCTCAAATTAATATTACTTTTATCATTTATAAATCTTAATAAAGGTAATATAATTAAAAAAATATATTTCCTTCATTTATTCATTTTTCTCAGTATGTGTAGAAAAAACGGATAGCAGAAGAGAGGAAGTAACTTATTTATTTCACCATACACATCCACCAATTTTTATTTCTCACACCTTCCATCCCAACTAACCTATATAGTTCTACAATACACACTAAACACTGATATCTACCTATCTACTGCTCTAAATGTACAATCCCTTTAGAACACATAAACAATTGAAACATCAGCTACAAAAGAAAAGAATATGTAGACACCATTAAACTATGAAGCACATACATGACCGAACATACATTGATACGGCGACATCATCAATAAAAATTTTAAAAAATAAATAAATTAACATGATATAAAGAAGAAGGTTGGAATGGAAGAACTTTCAAATTCCTTTATTACATCAGCAGCAATATAGAAAATCTAAGAACCCTTGGGACGGCTCTAATAGCACAAGAAAACCAAAGGATCCAATGTCACATTCGACTGAAAATTAAACTGAAAATGATGATAGAATCGCACTATCAAAAACTGGTTTTGTCTCTCAAGACAAAACTACATAGTCATGGCAAAATCTAGAACATATTTAGTCCTACAATCTAGTCTCACTCCTAAGAGACTACAAAACTTAGACACATGATATGTTGTGTTGGAGTGGTTCTTCAATCCAACCAGCAAACTCATCGTCTTCTATGCCAAAATCAAAATCAGGAAGTTCACTAGGCTCATTGTCATCAAAGCCATGAATGTGAATATCCCTAAAGTCACCAAACTCATCAAAATCCTGTCCAAAATCATCGATGTTAAACCGATCAAAATCAAATCCAAACTCACCAAAATTGAGATCAGTCCCAATTGGATTCTCTGCAGCAGCAACAGGTGGCTCAGGCAAGTTCAAAACACTTAGATCTGGAATTTCTAGCTCTTCAAGTTGGCAAGCCATCATATCACTAGGTTCATCTTCGACAACAGCATCAACCTTCTCCATCATATTGGATGCTAGAGTATCCAATTCAAGCACCGAAGAAGGTGATGCATGCGAGAACATCTCAGAATCTTCGGTAGTTGAAAACTTCTCCGACGCAGAAGCATTAGCAGCATCCGCGGATGATGTAGTTGATGTAGTTGCAGCTGGTGCTGATGCAGAGCAACTATGGTTGATGCATGCTTCTTTTTCATTTGCTTTAGCTTCCATTTCCATTTCAAATTGAAGTCTTTTGGATTCATAAGCATGAGAAGCTTCTTCAGCAGTGTTGTAAGTTCCAAGCCAGATTCTAGCACCTTTGAACGGATCACGAATCTCCGCAGCCCATTTCCCCCATTTCCTCATTCGAACTCCTCGATACTTCGCGGAAGATTGTCTTCTAGTAGTCGGAGTAGCAGGAGGAACACACCTCCTCCTCTTTGTTTGAACTCGTCTCACTGACAGAGAACTCTTCGTTCTGGCTGCAATGTTCTCCTTCCCATAGAATGAATCTTGAGTAACAGCCACGGCAGAAACATCACGGATAAAAGGCAGAGGCATCTCGACACAGCCCCGCCTTATTTGCCTCGGCTGCGACTCATCTTCGGATGATGATTCAGTTGCATAAGGATCATTATAAACAATCCGCAATTTCCTTGTCACCTTCATAGGCATGGGTTGAGGCCTTGGTTTAGCTCTAGATTTTCTAGAACCCAACATGGTGAAAAAAAATCTTAAAACCCTCTAAAAACCCTTAAAATTTGTAAAAAATAAAAATTCTAATGAAATAATCAAAGAAAGTGAATCAGAGACAAAAAAAAGTGACAAAAACTCTCGAGATCTCTCAAGTGAGATCCCCTCTTAAAAACAAAAAGAGATTAGAAAATTTCTGTATTTCAAATCCTCCAAAACACACAACTCGGCAACAAGTCCTGGTTACAAAAAAAAACATCATCAGACCCAAAATCAACCCCAAAATCTAAAGAAACAGTAATAAAAATTATAACAATAATAATAATAATAATAATAATAATAATAATAATAACAATTATTGAAGAAACAATAACTGTAAAATACCTTTTAGGCCTCAATCGCATTGAAACAGCTAGATTCACAAAAAAATTGCTGAGATGAACAGAGAGAATCGTCAACAACAGAGAAGAAACAGAAACAATACAGAGCTTCAAAGGAGCCCTAATCACTTCCAGAATAAGCTGAGAAGACTGAGAAGACATAAATCCACTGTTTATCCTGTTTTTTTGAAGCTTCCTCCTTCAACAGAAAAGCTTCCTCCACTCTCTCTATCTTCACTCACCAAGAAGAAACAAACAAAGAAAAGAAAGAGTATCAAAAATAAGTGACACACTGATATATATAAAGAGATAACAAAAGTACTGTGAGTGAGAGAAGAGAGAAGGATCACAAATCTAAGGTCAAGATTTTACTTTATATAAAAGCCAAACAAAAAAACATGAGTAAGAAGTGTCTTTTTTCTATCGATCTGGAAAATAGTGTTGTGACATAGAATGAACCAAAATCAATAAATATAAATCAAAAACAAACAACAACTAGCCGACCTTAATACAACACACATGAATTACACCATTCTCAAGACAAACAAAATACCAATGAATTTTAATAAAATTAAAAATAATAATAAATAAAAACACGTTACAAAGACCGAGAAGCAGTAAATTATAATTTAATAAAAAAATATGTTACTTGAGTACAGTGATACAGACCAGAAATCAAAGGATTGAAATGAAACTTTACAATTGAAAACAATTGAAATTTTTATTTTACCTATGATTTGGTTTTTTCACTGAGCCGGAGGAGGCTATTCTGTTTTTCTCTCTCCTCTGTCGCTTTCTGTCTGCAGTGTTTGCAGTGTTTTCTCTCTCTCTCTCACTCTGAGTGGCCCCTCCTCTCTCTACTCACTTTTCTTAATATACTACCAGGGCCTTCTCACAATTACCATTTTTTTAATGCTTGGTCAAATAATAACCGCATTTTATGGGATTTTATTTTTTATTTTTTGAGTAGGTAAAACATATAATATTATCACTCACACTATTAACTGTATTTTGGACACTATTAAATTCTGATTTTTTAATATTCATTGGAAATTGATATTGAAATACTAATATTATATTACCAATGTATTTAGTAATTCTTTTTTACTAATTACATAATCTTTGTAGCATACAGCTGTATATATAATTTTTAGTGCAATGAAGATATTTTATGAATTATTTTACAAGTAACTTACAAATAATATTATCATATATTTTATATATTATATCATTTGACAAAATTTATTTAAATTATATAAATTTATAATATAAATCAATTTTAGACAGATGTGTAATCAAGTTTTTTAATTAAGATAATTTAAGAAATAGTGCCATGATATTCTAAAATGAAAAAAAAAAATTAATATCAATATAAATTTATGCAATAAAATATACCAAAAAGATTTAAAATGGATTAAATAAAAAAACTTATATATAATTTCTTTATATATAATTTTGTAGGTGTGGATTATATTTTTTTAATGAAAATATGATAAGTGTATGATTTTTTTAATTTTATTTTATTTTTATTTTATTTTAATATTTAAATATATTTTTTATTTTCTTATTTTTTTTATTTTAAAATGGTAAAAATAATAATATCTAAATTTTTTCTTTAAATTAAAAATATTAATAAAAAATTGTATCTAAAATTTTTCCATAAATAAAAAATATCAAAACGTTTGTGTGACCATATTATCATAATAAAAGATATAAAAATGTATTTGTATTTAGCTAAAAAAATAATGATACACTGTGTATTTTTATTGACAATGATGTATTACTATTTTTTATAAAATAAATTTATTAAAAATATTAAATAAAATAATTTTTACAGATTCATTTAACCAAATTTAATTCTTAGTATTTGTTTATACAATTTAAGATATAATATCTAATTTTTTTTGGATAAGATATTACATTTTAAACATATATAAAATAAATTCTCTAGAAGCATGTTTTTCTAGACAAATAAAATTTTATAAATTATTTTTATTTTCGTTGAATATATTTTCTTGTTTTTTATTATTGAATTAATATTTTTTGGGTTTTAATAATATATTTTTTAACAATATAAAAAACAAATTTACTTATTTATAAAATATTTTTCAATGATTCAGTATTTTATCTAAGAGTAAGTAGTAATATTAAATTATCTAGATTTTTTAAAAAAAAAGATTTATGCGCTAATTATTCAAAATAATCACATTATTAATAAATAGATAGATTGAGTTCTTCCAATAAAACTTATGAAAATAATTTATTTAAGGAGAAAATTTAGATATAATTTTTATTATTTTTAATAAAAATATGATAAATATATTTAAATATTATTTAAAAAATGAAAATAAAAATAATTTATATATGTGTAAAAAGAAATTATATATTTATTATATTTTGATTGAAAAATGTAAAAATCACACTTAAAAAATTATACATAAATTTTATTCTTTATTTAATTATATATAAAATTCTTTTAAAAAATATTACCAATTTTAAAAAAATCTATATATGTTAATATTAATTGAATAGGCCAAAAAGTAAAAAAGATAATAGTAATTGTAAATATTTAATTTCTACTTTTATATATGAGCTGTCATAGGGCTGTATAGCATTACACATACATAGAATTAGCATGAACATGTTACATGCATATCATGCCCCTCATCCTCATTCTTATTCCAGACTGAGTTGGATACAGCTTGAAGTCTTGTTTTTTTCTGACGCTCAGATCCAATACATCAATTGATTCCGTTACGCTAATCCAACGGTTGCTTGACATATGGTGTATTACACGCGCTTATATGGCGAATGAGTGAGACAATATAAACTACGTTGCAGCTTTTCGCGCCGCCAATGCTGACTAATCAACCATTCCATTGTACACGAGGAGATAACGGAGACCGTTAATGATATTTACGAAGAATACCGTTTCTGAGTCTTGGTCTTCAAGTAACTTTTTTAGTTGAAAACAAAAATAATCTAAATTTCGAGACACATTTATAAATAATAATAAAAAATTACATTCAAATAATTGATATATCTAATATAAAATAATAATAAAATATATTATTTATTCAATAAATTTAAAAAATTTATTATTTATAAATATTTTTTAAGAATAAATAAATTAATAAGATAAAAACTTATAAAAGAAAATTGTGATTTTAATTAATTATTTTTATAAGTGATTGGAATATATTAATTACCATAAAAAAATATAAAACCAAAAAATAAATAAAACTATCAGAAATATATATATATATATATATATATATATATATATATATATATATATATATATATATATATATATATATATATATATATATATATATATATATATATATATATATATATATATATATATATATATATATATATATATATATATATATATATATATATATATATATATATATATATATATATATATATATATATATATATATATATATATTTTATATCATTAATTAATCACTATTTTTTAACTCTAAAATTATTCAATTCAAATATTTATATAAATATCGATTGTAAACATTAAAAATGTGAACGGATCATACAATCCGAAAAGATTGAAGATCAAACCAAATAAAATATAAAAATAAATAAATATTTTTATTCGGTTCACAAATCAATATTCAATTGTTAAAATTAAAATAAAAACTAATAATAATTCAAAATAGAAATTTTATAAGATTTAAAAATATATTTCATGTATGATTTAATATATTTATTGTTGGGCGGGTGGGGTATTTTAGTTGTCAAATATTAATTGAGTTAACAGGTTGTTGATCTAGGGTTTAAGTTTTGACAGCAACATTTATTTGTATTTTTTTAAAATGTAAATAGGTTGTTGATATTTATAAATCAATAATTTTTAAAAAAAAATATATATTTACTATTAACAAACATGTCATCATATTTTTTTATTATTATATAATATAACAAAACATAACGAAATGTAACAAACATTTGTCTAGAATAATCTAAAAACATACATGAGAGAAATATTTATCTTAGTTCTCTTTTGTACAAAATAATAAAGGATATTATTCAAAATTGCACTTGTTAAAATTACAATATGTGACAATAACCCGTTGCGATTAATACTTGTCGGAGACTTTTAGGGTTGTTGTATTGTTATAGTAAGTTTGCGCAAAGAATGTGAGAAGTTCTGTCTATATGGTAATTCAAAGAGAATTGGATGTCCTCTTCAATCTACGGGTGGAGGTATTTATAGGAATCTTATGGACTTGAATCTTAGACTACAAGAAACTAATACATACATTTAGGAGTGTGGGAAGCGGAAAGTTATCTACCATATTATTCTGAAGAATGTGGTTTTCCCTTTTTTTACTTCATCTCTCTTACCATTATGGATATGGATACATCACCTCGTGTTTGAGGGACTCGAAGATGGACAATACACAAGGGAAAAGAGAGTGAGAAAAGAGAGAGAAAGGATACTCTTAGTTTTTCTTCAACTATTATTTATTTAGTATTTTTTATTATTTGTTTTATTTTAACTGAATAATTGCATGTCATGTGTGTCATACTCCAAATTTGCCCTACCTTTTTTACTTTTGTCTGGCTTTGAACTTTGCATCCTATTTGCATCATTTTTACTAAGTCGTTTGCATATCCGGCATCTCATGGAATCAGGTGCCTTGGTTTGAGGTATTAGGATTGTGCCATCTTTATGTCTAATTTTGGTTTAAGGTTTTCTTTATCAGGTAAAAGGCAAATTCATCTGGTTCTCGATTAGTGGATCGTGGAATGAAGTTTTGAGGTATCATGGATTTCTTTCTCATCAAGTTACAAGGTTGTTTCTCACTCGAATTCATCTGAGCCTGGATTATGGTTTATTTACCTATTATTTGGTAAGATGCTAGGGTTTTGGATCCCTAGTTTTTGTGAAGATGTTTCTTTCGCCCGCCTCAAAGATAACTCAAAGTCCAGTACATTTGGTTACGAGTTTCATGTCTAATATCTCCTCGCACTTCAGGAAATAAGGTTGGAGGCTCATGATAATCAAGGCATGTTTTGTTGCTTCAGTTACAAGTTACTTGTGGTTTGGACATCAAAGTTACAGTTCTCATTGAGAGTGCAAGTTGGGTTTGGACATGATATGAAGATTGGGAACTGAAAGACAAGGTGCA